CACTGAGGCTCTCTCTGAGCCAAATGGGAGGATTTCCCAGAACGTGGCATTTTTGGGGATCCCAAATAGTCATCACCCTGGGCTTCAAACTTTCACCCTGAAATTCCCCCAGAATGTGATTATCTTAGTCCGCATTCCTGGAGAATGCTCCCTACTCACAGGCGGCGCCACTCTCACTTTCTTCAGTCACTGGTTCCTTGCCAGTGGGACTAGGATCCGTGGCCCCGGCCATGGACTCCGCGCCTCCTTCCAGCATCTTGCTGGCACAGGAACCTAGGGGCAGGGCGTGGGGCGGGAGTGAGTCAGTGATTACCAGGCTGATGGGGGTAGGGTTGGAGGGCCTAAAATGAGAGGTCAGACTGTTTAGGAGCGAGGTCTGTTAGTATGGGATGCTAAGGCAAGGGCAGGCTTAGCGGGGAGGCGGAGCCTAAGCACAATGAGCGTGGCTATGCAAATTTAATTCAGAGATAGTCCCTTCGCTACCTAAACCCAGGGTTGGAGTCTTTGAGCAGAGTTGGCTGGGTCTCCACAACTCTAACTCCGCTGCTGTCCAGAGCTCGGAGCGGGCGGGGCATGTGCCCAGAGTGGGCGGGAGCTTCCCCACCTAACCCTGCTGCCCTGGAATGGGTGGAGCTGTGCAAATAGGACCAAAGTCTGTTCAGAAACTAGACCAAGGGGGCGGGGGCCTTCGAGCGGAGTGGACAGGTCTTTCATCAGCGTCCCAGGGGAGGGGCCTATGCGTACAGTGGGCGGGGCTTTACGTCGAAGAGCTAGCTTTACCCGGGTTTTGACTTAGTTCATTGGCACCGCGTCAACTGCGTCCTTCTTGCTGTTAAATTTCATCCCTGGCTTGAATGGGACCGTGGAGGATGGAGCGGGGACCTGGAGGAAGATATGGAAGGAACGTGGCATATGTCCCGCTTCAGAGGCCTTATCCCTCGGAGTCCCAAGCGTAAAGGATTCAATGCTTCCCTCGGAATCAGGCATTCAGACACTGATACACCCTCCCAAGGCTCAGGCACTAATGCACAGTCCCTCCAGAATCTAGGCGTTCGGACCACCACCGATCTCCCTCAGGGTGATTATGGCATTCAGCCTGCAAGCCAATAGCCTCGCCTGAACCCCCTGCCCCTCACCTGCAGGACGGCCCCTCCCCGGGGGCGGGGCTTCGGGCTCCTCCCGCCGCGGCCAGGGCCGCAGCAGCCGTCGCCGCTGCTGCACTGCCCTCGGCCCCACGGAGCTGCACAGCCCGGCGACGGGGTAGAGCAGGGAAGGGAGCGCGCGCGAGCTGCTCGGCCCAACCTCATTTCCATCCCCTCCTCCCACGCTGGACCAGAGGGGGCGTCAGAAGGCATGCGCAGTGGCGGCTGGCAGAGGCTGCGGAGGGGGAAGACGGACTGGAAGGAGGGACTGGGTGGGCCACGCAGGCAGGCAAGTTCGTGAGCAAGCGCGAAGCTACTGGCCAAAGGATCGAAGTAAAGTGTACGGCGGGTGGCGGGGCCTACGGTGGCTGACTGGAGTCAAGCACGTGCAAGACTAACATAGACAAACTGCGCTTGGAGATCAGTGCATGCACCCCTCTTCTTTTCGAGAATTCCGCTGGATTCCATCTCCAGAGGCAGTTTCAAGAGTTTGCTGCTAATTCCACCCCTTCAAGGCATTTGCAAAAAGTCTGTCCATTTCCCCAGGCGAGGGCGGGGCGGGACTCCGGAGAGCCAGTGCCCAATAAAACGTACACATTTTTTGCATAGCGCCCCGGCACACCTCGTTATTGGGTGATTCAAGATTCTCAGCCACGCCCCCATCGACCTTCCTCCCTGGGACGCCTGTGTGGTCCTGAGGTGCCCTGGCCCTTGCTCCTGGTGCTAGGCTCCGGGCGTGCGGCTTGGCATTCTTCCCGAGCAGTGGCGGTGCATTTTCCTGCCTGGTGCAGGAAGGACCAGGAAATGCCCATAAAATCCTCTGCATGGGTGGGTCTCCAGTCCAATAACCCACAGGTCTGGCGATTCCTGGGAGTTTGTTTGGTGGGGTTATTTGGACTCTGGAGCCAGATTGCCTGGGTAACTGGCTTGGAATCGGTTGTGCCACTTTCTAGCCGTGTGACCCTTTTTAGATCTCTTTCTAGGCCTGTCTCCTTATCTATAAAGTGGAGGGTTGTTGGGATTAAATGTGAGAATCAATGGAAAGTGTTTAGAATAGAAAGTGCCTAGGCCTGGCTCCCTGTCTCACGCCTGTAATCCCAGCACTCTGGGAGGCAGAGGTAGGCGGACCACTTGATCCCAGGAGTTCCAAACCAGACTGGGGCCAGGGGTAGCTCAAGCCTGTAATCCCAACACTTTGGGAGACGGAGGCGGAAGGATCACTTGAGGTCAGGAATTTGACACCAGCCTGGCCAACTTGATGAAACCCCCGTCTCTACTAAAAATACAAAAATTAGTCGGGCGTGGTGGCGCACGCTTGTAATCTCAGCTACTCCAGAGGCTGAGGTGGGGGGATTGCTTGAACCTGAAAGGCGGAGATTGCAGTGAGCCGAGATCAAGCCAGTGCACTCCAGCCTGGGCAACAAGAGGGAAACTCCGTCTTAAAAAAAAAAAATTAGCTGGGTGTGGTGGTGTGCACCTGTAATCCTAGCTACTTGGGAGGCTGAGACAGGAGAATCACTCAAACTCAGGAGGCGGAGGCTGCAGTGAGTAGAGATTGCACACACTGCACTGCAGCCTGGGTGAAGAGTGAGACTCTACCTTAAAAAAAAAAAAGGAGCTGGAAAGGGTGGGAAGAAGTCAAGGATAGTGACAAAATAAGTAAGAAAAGTTCTCTTTGCTCTGAGCTTTTTTCTTCCTGTTTCAAGACTAATTGGATGTCTTCTCTTCCTTTTTTTTTTTTTTTTTTTT